TTAAAGGGCAGCTAAAATTATGTTTAGATAAACACCAAGTTTGAAAGTTTCCCTCCTTTCCCTCTCTCCCCCTCTAAATAGAAAAATCAACCAAACAAAATAAAACCCTGTCTCTGGGCCAGGTGATGCAGTTTCTTTGCAATTTGCAGTTTCCATGTTCAGAGAGATCTGTCCACACTATTTCTTTCATCCAGCAGTTGTCAGAAAACACTCTTCAGCTTGGAGCTTCCCTGGTGACGTGAGTGCCACGTGCTGCGGAGTGGTGCCCTCATAAAACTTACAAACTGAAGCTAAATGCAAGGTTTTATCTAGCTTGTTCACGGAATAGTTTGTTTGATTGATTGTTTTCAACAGATAGTAACTCAATATTTCTGGTTATTTTTATACAAGCTCCCATGTAAATCCCCCACATTTTGATAGAAGAGGCTGGATCAATGTACATCTATTTGTATGTTATAAACAAGGCTTAAGTGGCTTTTGCTGTGCCTCAGCTGGTTCATATTAAAATGCATTGATCTAAAATGGTCAACTCCCCAAACTGGTGACTGATCCTGTCTGTAGGTCAATATGACTCTTATCCTATGTGACTTCTATAATGAGTGCAAAGAGCGCGTTCTTGGGAATCCTGAGGAGTTCCGTAACTTACTGTAAACGTGAAATTGGTTACATGAGCCTGTGGTTTGCACACTTAGAGGAACAAGAACATAAACACAGCTGAGACATGTGTACAACATGTGTAGATAGTTATTGCTGGTCACCTCAGTGACTGCTAATTTGTGACCTCTCTGTGTCTGCTGCAGGGCTGCCCACCATACCTCACTGGATCAAAGCTCTCCACCCCTGAGCGGGGCCTCGCCACCGTACAAATACACTTTACCAGGAGCACAGGATGCCAAGGATGATTTTCCACTTCGTAAGACGGGTGAGTTAGCGTAGTTTATTCGAGCCCCTTTACCCAGCAATTCTCCCATCTTTTATTTTAACCAGCCTGTCCATCAGCAAGGCACATATTATCCACAAAGGCTGCTCAGGATACTGTGGGTAAGTTCAAAGATCCTGACTGCATCTTTATGAGATAGGACTGACCACATCGTATCAAGAGTTGGTGTTTCCCAATGCTTACAGCTAGTGCAGGCTTCAGTCTTGATAAATTTAGTTTCTAAGCAGACCATCATTTCACAGATCTTTTATGGCATTATTTTCTATGTCTCAATATTACTTCTGGGTTTAATAGCTCTCTCTCTTTTGCATGGTAGATACAGTATCTGTCTTCAAACAGTATACTGCCTTTAGACAACGTTTTTCAGAACATTTTGATGGGGACTCATGGGAAGAGGAGGAATTAGATTAATATTCTATTTTGTGACTTGGTTGCCAAATTTCATATGCCTGTGTACATACACGTGCATACACACGCAGATGTTTGTGTGTGCTTTTTACATATAGGAATGTGTAATATTGTACAAGAAAATGATCATTTGAACATTGCAGCATATTTCAAAGGATTTAGCAACTGTACCTTTTGTCTTGACAGCAGGTGAACTGTAGACATGACTTTTTCTGCACCATAAAGAAAGCTAGAAGGATGGTGGTGGAGTTGATGTGGCTGTTGCCTCAGGTCTTTGGTGCAGTGACCGGTATCCAGGAATGCAGGGAGACACTAAGAGGAGCAGGGGGGAGGTGGGGGGGAGAAAAGAAAACATTAGATCGCTTATTGCGTGAGTCTGCTGTTGAGTGATATAGTTACATTCAGAGAGAAAGTCTGACCCCCTACTGTGCTAACAGCCTTTGAATGTGATTTAGCCACTGGGAGATTGAAAACTAATTGCAAAACTGGTAGTGACTTAAAAAGAAGTGGCATTTGGAACCAGTATACATTCAGAAAGAAAACCCAGTCTGTGTCTAATACTTTGGGGCAGACTCTCTAAGCTTCTATTAGATCCCCAAATATTTTCAAAGGAATGAAAGCATGAAAAGCAAAATGCTAATTTATTGAATTTCTCAATGTGATCTTTGTACAATATGGTGGCAATATAACAAGATTCTATAAAATCTTGTTCAGGGTATTTAGCCACAATAAGACCTTATGTGGTTCTTTGCTTAATACCACTGTACAACATATATTTTCTGTACCAATAGGCTACATATTTTCATTTTTAAAACAAAAGGATACACTCTACGTCTTTTAAATGCTGATTTCATTTACATGTTTTTGAAATGCAAGTTTTAATTTTTCTTCTGTGTTTATATAATCTTAAATGTTATGATTGATATTTATGATGTGTCAGGCTGTTGATCTGTAAAACAAAACATTTTCAAACATTGTAACAGTAAAGTTCTTGTGCAGCTGCTAATACTTTTATATCTCTGTGGGGGTTTCAAAATATTCCTTAATTTAATTCCCATTGTCTGCATAAGAGGACTATAATATAATTAAATCCAGATGTTTTCTATATGTTATTCCAAATATTTGGGCATGCAGTGCATCAGTTCCAAAACTGAACAAAGGACATGATGACTCTCTGAAAAGATATCTACAGAATAAATAGACTAATACTAATATAATCATTAGCATAACCGTTTCTGTGACATTTACATGGTGATTCTGATAAGCAAATATAAATAAAGTGTACAGCATGTTGCATGTTAGCAAGGCAGTATATGTGATAGCTCTCTGCATCTATGTAAATAGCAACTGTTAAATATCCTGTTTACACGTCCAGTCTTTCAGTGTACCAACGTTGTTAAATTCCGGCCTTCAGCAACGTCCCCACAAAGGTTCCAATGATTGTTCACCAGGTTGAGAGTAAAAGCAACAGGAACCAGATTGACAAAAGTCAAATGACCCTAAACTGATCTGGGTGGTTATAGGGCCATCCTCCAGGCAGAGGGGACATTGTGGAGCCTGTGTCATCCTCATGGGACCTTACTAGACAAAGATGTCCTATGAACACTCATGTATATGGACAGGCTATAAGCCTGCAGAAATCTGACCTTTGCCATGAGGAGTGAACCTTTTTTCCTTTCCTTTAGGCTATGAACACTTATTGCCACTGGCTCCTGGCAAACCCTCTGTGGTGCTGAACCTGCATGAAGTCAGCAACTCATATGAAAGTGGACCTCACATTCCTTTCAGCCTTAAGAAAGGAATACCTGTTGTGGGTTTTAATAGCAGCTTTGTTTTGCTTCTCAATTTTATTTTCCGTATTCATAATATAAAATACAGAAGTAGCTTTCTCTTCTCTATCTTTAATATAATGTCCTTGTAGGATAATTCTGATTTAATTGATTACTCTAAGATCAGATTTAATGGAAAGCAAAGCTGAATGATTCTCTCCTGACATCCTAATATGTTTCTCAGTGCCAAGAAAACACTAAGCATCACGCAGGCATTGTAGATAATGAGTTTTGCTTGCTCACTTTCTTTTTTCAGTAATCTATTTCAGCTTTCCTTAGTTAGTCCTGAAGTGGCATCTTATTAAGCTTTTAAAAATTAATTCAGAAAGACTGTGGTAAAGAGGGAAATATTCTGTGCAACTTTTACTTTTCTAGCACCTAGAATGATGGGATGCATAGATAAGTGGGGAGACACTCAAGAGTCTTGCTCTTTCTATGTTTACAGTTAGGTACCAGAGTTAACATCCTAGATCAGTGACTATAGTTACTCAGTAACTCTCTCAGCCATGTGGATTGTTCCTTTCCATACGAGATGCAGCAGAACTTGTCGGCAGTAGGCTTCACATAGCTTAGCTGCATGGAGGATTGGGACTGTCCTAGGGACTCAAGGCCAGGATATGCCGTTCTTTGCACAGCTGCATTCAGATGCTCTGTGTTGACAGACTTTCAAAAGAGCAGAGCAAGGGGAGCTATTGCTTCACTAGACAGATAAATATACCATAAGGAGAAGCTACACGTCTGTAGCTGAGAGCAGAATTTAGCCTAAACAGAGTCCGATCAAATTTTAAAAATGCCCAAGACCTTCATCATGGATACCAGTCATAACGTGTGTTTTCTGCAAAGCACCAAAAAGCCTGAGCAACACATGACTCATTAGCTTTCAATGAGGCTAATGCGTCTAAATTACTCAGAGAAGTTTGAAAATTCCTCCCCGTTACTGAACACTTTTGAAATTCGTACTGACTGTTGTAAGAGCTCTGATGGGAGCAGAGCACTTTTGAAAACACGATCATTTCATATGGGGAACTTTTGATTGCTGATCTCCAGGGAAAATATTATCTGCTTGATGGAGTTGCCGCAAAACTAACAAAAATGTAGCAAACAACACAAATGTGAAGTTCTTTTCAGAAAAAGGTTTTTTTAGATTTTTTTTACCTTGTTAAAATAAATACAGAAATTCTGGCAAATGGCCAAAACATTTACGTTTTCTTCAGTCTGTAACATTTCATTTTCTGTATGCAAGTGCTGATGCAAACCAGCAAAAGCCAGTAAATTCCAACAAAGGTTAGCTCTCTAACCAAAGCTGCATACTTTTTTTAAAATGTTGCTAAAGACAAAATTTCTCATTTTGCCTCATGTTTTGGCTTTTGTTGAAGAAATTCCTGGGGATGTCAGCATGTCAAGTATAAACTTTTTTCTTTCCTGAGTTTAGCACAATCATGGCAGAATGGGAATGTCAATATTTCTATTTATTTTGGTTTTATGCCAGTTGAGTCTTTCCTTGCTGATGGAGTTGTAAGTTTACAACTTGCATTTTGCTTAGGGAGCTGAAGATCATTCACAGTAGTACTATTTAAGAAGATGTTTGTAGCTCACTTTCAAAAAATTGGAAACATACTCAATGGAAATATAGCATGGGTTTTTTTAATAGCAAATAGTACAAGGTTCTTGCTTGGAGGGGGGATATTATGTCATTTCATGCAGGAAAAAAGGGGAGATGAAGGATTGTTTAATATTGCGATGAAAGAGGGAATGAAGCCTGTGCTGCACAGTCATGAAGATCACTTTGTAAAAACCATATTAAGTTAACCTGATTAGGCAGCAGAATAACAGCATAGCTCTTGTGTAATAAGAGTGAAAGATTCCTGAATGACAACTCAGCAGATGCCATTTTTTAAAAAGAAAGAAATTAATTAGAATATTTCCTTACCATCATTCTTTCTGCACTTAGTGACTTGGTAATTTACTGGAGCGATTGAAACTGAGAAGGAAAACATTTCATGTGTGAAAGTTTTTCTCCCCTTTTGTGCCACCAAATTCCATTTCTGTTTGCATTTTCTAGGAAAACACTCTTCTGTGAAGTAACAATGCAGGAAAAAGCTGGATTTCTGTTGGTCTTCAGTAAAAAAAAAAGCTTAGGGGATCACGAACCCTCAACTGCCATGTCTGCCAAAATGAAGTCAAGCTCAGTAGAGAGAAGCATTATTTTTTTCAGAGTTTATGAGCAAGCACAATAAATGGGAGAGGCACTTTGTTTACTGAAGCAGGGAAACAAGGCAAACATTATATGATTCTCCTTATTTTATCCCATTTTTCAGGGATGCTAAAAAAAACTGCCTCCCAGAGTCCTTGTTTTCTTGGGTTAATGATCAGTCTTGACAAATTTGGACTAGGTGATATGCCCAGAGGAAGTCACCAGTGCTTATCACAGAGTCAGAAACAAAAAAATAGAGAGGTAGCCTGATTCCCAGCCCCTCATTTTCTTGACTTCTGTTTCCATTAATCACCAGACTTTTTTAGCCTTCCTAAGTTAACTTTCAAGAAGTTGAGAGGGCATAATTAGTAGTAAGAGGTTTCAGAAAGAGAAGAAACTTTCACTTGCATTTGAGAAGTGAATGTGAAGCAAACTGTTGCTAACAGCTTCTTCCAAATCCATGTAATGAGCAGCCCAAAGCAGAGTTCAGCCCCTGGGAGTCAGCAGTTCTAAGAAACTGCAGTACCATTGTAGATACTGTGCTGGACCAC